TGGAGAGTGGGGGGTTGTATGGAGCGCATATAGGTTTATATGATTATCATACTTTGTTGTTATCCTTTGTATGGGATTGTGATGTTTCGTTTGTTTTTCTTTGTATGGTTTAATAACCCAAATTTGAGGTTACTGTAAAGACCACTTATATTGTTATACTGTGCGCGCAAGATAGCAGCCTCTGCTGCATAGAGGAATTTGGTGTTTGAAGAAGAAAAAGAAGGAAGACTGAATAATTCCCACCCGGGCTGAAGGTGTTAGCTGTTAAATCTTCTGGCGGCCTCTGAAAGGCCCAGCGCATCATTACTGTTGTTCTGGTTGTCACCTAAAGTTCCGCAATTCCGCATCTGCGGAAGCATTTATTAAATATTTATTGCAACTTGAAGGAATTCTCATTTACTTCGATTCTTTAATCAGCCGTTGCTTTATCACCATTTTCACCAGCTACGTGTGCAGCCGACAGCATCTCCACTCTTTTCTGTTTTGCTTGTCTGTCATCCACATAATTCCTCACATTCTTTCGGATGGTTCCTTCCAGCACCTTGGCACTACGTCTTTCTGACATTGGGTGAGTATCACTCGATAATCCGCTTTGTCCATCCGGCTTTTGTTATTTATTAACTATTTTTAATTTGCTGAGGAGTGCGATGCCGTGAGCAGTGTTGCTCTCGCGCAAAATGGCGTGAATTCTACAATGCCTGTGAACAGTTTGTCCTTTCACGAATTTGTTTATTCATTCCGACGATAAATTGTATAAGATGCACGCCAGAAGTAAAAATCGCTGTAAGCAACCCGACTGCTATTCTAACTTTCCGATATGCACAATTTTACCAATTCACTATCGAGACCAATGACAGTCTATCGTCATCCACTTTATTTTCGAACACGATCTTGAAAAGGGATAAACATGAGGAGAGGTCGGATTTTGAATCCCAGTAATTCTTCTAGGAAGACAAAAAACTGACATAAGAACACGCAAGAAAAATTTCGGTTTTCTCCTTTTTATGCATTTTTGCTGTGCGGCACTATAGCAGTGTTTTTGCTGCGCTGCTATAGTCAGCAAAAACGCATATTGTCGAGAGGCTGTCTGTATGTGTGTGTTCGGAAGCGAGTGCATTTTGTCATCCATTTTCATCTCAGCAACCAGGAAAGCTGGGAGGCTGAAACTTTGGATATATGCTCCTACCTCGTGTGTCATCCTCCCGTTTTAAGATGCTTCCCCACACGCGCCGAAACCCCGCGTGCGGGACTCCCGAAGAAATTTGTTAGCGGGAAACGATTTCGCGAACCAGGCAACGTAGAAAGCTGAAACTTTGCAGGGATGTTCTCTATGCGCATGCGAGATAAAAATTTTAAACTCAGCTCTCTAGCCCCCAACCACAGCCTCAAGCAGCTCCTGAATCCAAAAATCGTTAACAACTCGGGCCTGAACCGCAATTGTATATGCGAATGAACATGGATTCCTTGAAAAACGACCGTTCGAGCAATAATTTCAATTTTTCAATGAGATGAAAATTTGCATATTTCAAAAAATTCGTTCGCAGCTCGGACCTTAACCGCAATCGTATATATAAATGAACGTGTATTTTTTGAAAAACGACAGCTCGAGCAATACTTCCACTTTTTAGTGAACTGGAAATTTGCATTTTTTCAAAAAATTTGCATTTATCACTTTTTAACGAAGCAAGGCATTTACCGAAAAAACGACCGAACTTTATGCAAAAAACCGGTAATCATGCACCTGTATGTCCTTGCTCTCATGTATCCCGCGTTCTTCAGGGATTTTCCTCTGGAAGTAAACTGACCTCTGACTTGGTGCAATAAACACCACGCATCAATTACTCCGTAACACATCTCAGAGCTAATGAGAGCCTGTGAGGTGTCAGAGATCACTACAGCACCGTATCCACAATAGCTCCCTCCAGCCGTGTAACGAATCCAGAAACACGGGAAACGTCGAAGCAGCAAAAACGAGCAGAAGGCAACAAAAAGCACAGGATGTATGCAGAGCAAGCTGGGCTGGTTGCACCGACCGTTCGGCACGCACTCGTTACAGCAAGCAGAATGCCGCCACATTTGCATAATGCTTACATTGTTCTGTACGGTCCTCATGCTGATCTAATCCACCAATTTCCACTGCGGGAGCGTGAAGCACAAAGGGAGCTATTCTGTCGTTCTCACTCTGCCACTGAACAACAATAGCACTTTCATAAAATCAGCATAAATTTTCTCGTTTGCGTTGATCCCGAAATACTGGTGCGATGTTCCGGAAAAATTTCGGATTTTCTCTTCAATGTCCAGTGCTTACTTTCTTGGCGCCTTCATAACAGAAAGATTTGTGAAAATTCGGTCGGCACAGTTCAGACAACCATCAAGTAAGAGTACATGAGTCTGTCCAAGTGAAAATGGGGGATCTTTCAAATCTTATCAAATCTGAGGAATCAGCTCGGACTTTAATCGCAATCGTATATGTAAATGAGCATGCATTTTTTGACAAACGACCGCTCGAGCAACACTGCCACTTTTTAGTGAACTGGAAATTTGCCTTTTTTTCAAAAATTTACATTTGTCATTTTTCTACAAAGCGAGCATTTACCGAAAAAACGACCGGACTTCATGCAAAAAACCGTCATGCACCTGGATTTCCGTGCGGCTCTATAATGCACCACCTTCATCCCGACTGATGCCCTTCCTCCTGCATGCCAGAAAGGATCAAAGCACGGCCAATATTAGCCCAAGTGCTAGGCTACAGCGTAGGGATCATTCCTGCTAATAGCGATCTGCGAGT